TTCTATGTAAAGGGAGGAATAGTGAAGGTATAAACATTCATAGGTTATATATACACACACACACAAGTCACTAAAAGCATGCAGGCAGTCAGTTATTTTTTTCTATGTAAAGGGAGGAATAGTGAAGGTATAAACATTCATAGGTCAGCAGCACTTTGTTGAGTGATTTGAGGGCAACAGAGAGAATAAGTGTGTAATAAATCAGAGTTTAAACTACCAGTAACAGTTTAGACTATATGAATGTTTTTTAGTTAAAACTTGCACTGCGCTGAAAACATGCACATGCTATTAAGCCATAACAAAAATGCTACAGGAATGGTGAAATATATAAATATTAAATTTGTACTTTAGTAAAGGGTTAATCACCAGGAGAGAATGGAAACTGGGGTTGTGTGGAGTGGTTATGAGTAGTCATTATCTTCCCTGCAACAGACAGGTCAAAGAGAGTTCAATTTAGAGAACCATGGAAGAATCTCGTTTGTCTCTGTGATGGACAACCTGTCCAGCATGTACCTGTCTATAAAACAGTGACTACTGGAAATAAGACTCCAGCTGTCCGCAATCATGCACATAAAAGCAGGTAAAGAAATTGGAAGGATGAATTTCACTTTGTGTTTACACGTTGCACTTTCTTGTATTTTATTTATTGTAGTGTTTTATATTGATCTTATATTGATACTCTTATTTTTACTATGATTAGTATGCCTTTTTGATTGCACAATGCTTTTATGTATTTATATTTTATCTTTTATTGAAGCTGCCACAGAAATAATTTGTGTTACATAATGAAAAAGTTGGTCTTGATCCTAGAACACACAATGATGACAACACATAACACATTATTATTATTATTATTATTATTATTATTATTGAATGGGAGAAACTATGTTTTTAACTTTATTGAGAAGAGCTCTATGGATAACAAATTTCCAAAACTCAAACAACTCAAACTAAAATATTTTCTATTGGTTTTAGTGAATTCCACATCAGGCATTTTACATCTTAACTAACATAAAATTGTTGTTTTTTTTCCGTCGGACTTCTGTGTTTCCATTTGTAAATATGTGTGCTGTTGACTACTGACTGAGTCCTGATGCACATTGTCGTGGTTGGCTACCACGTCGTGTTCAACACAGCTGAGACGTCGCCCTCGGTATAAAAGATTTATTTGACAAAACATGGGTTACAGATATTCAGAGACAAACAATTACATTAATAAGATATATGCATATAAATGGAGCATTAAAGAACGAACCGTCTCGGTGTGCGCCTCCCGGAAATGCTCGGTGGGCGTGTGTCATTTCCGGCCTTTTATCACAGTTTGAGAAGGCTAGCTTTCTGACTGGTTTAGCTTCTGTTGCTAGGGTTACGACTCTAGCCCGCCCTCTCAAGGACGTTACTATCTACATTTCAGATAAGAAGTTCTGCCTCACTGAAATCGTTCGTTTTAGCTGTTTGTTTAACGTGATTATACCTTAGTGATACCAAATGATTTGAGTTAAAGTTGTTTATTTCTAGGAATAATTAATAACTACTAATTGTTATCTAACTCATGTTTGCGTGTTCTTATTTGATCCTTTTTATACTTTTGCTGTTGTAGCTTACTGTGACAATTAACTAAACCGATCCTGTATTCAACAATGATTAAATGTTAATGGTTATTATTAAGAGAGATCCTGAGGGATCTTATTTAGTCAAACTATATTGTCTAAATTAAATGAATGTGTTCTAGCTTTATTTATGTTAATCAGTCTGCTATCTGGCATGATTTGATTGCTTGTAATATATCAAATGTGAACTTGTAAAATTATCCTTAGCTAATATGAGATTATATTTAAAGGTCAACTAGTTAGAATTAGTAAACATTTTCTATAAATATAGTGCAACCCTGGAAGAAAGACACACACACTTTGTATAACATGACATTTGAATGCTTGACAGGAAATATAAAAAAGGTATAAAAATATGAAATCCAACAACATTCAAAGTGAATTACAGTTCCCTCTGTCAGATCTCACAACTGCAGATGATAAAAAGGCAACAGCAAAAACAAAGTTACTTTTTATGAAGATATAAGAGAATGTGCCAGATCACTCAGGTTAACAGCAGGAAAATGAAATGAGTCCTGACTCAGCTGATCAGTAGTGGGATGTTTTAACAACTGTAGTGAACACAGTAAGTACTTAAAAAGCGTTCAATACAAAAACAACTGGACTTTATTTTTAACAAAAGACGAAAACAAATAAAGTCCAGTTGTTTTTGTATTGAACACTTTTTGAATTCATCATGTCCTGGATGCTGAGAATCTTCACCAGCATAACACAGTAAGTAGAAACATTATTCATAACAGTGTTTCCCCTAGTTGACTTGCCTTGGCGTTCATATCTTCCATGATTTTTGTTAACGGTGGTGGTAGTGGGTTGTGGTAGTAGATTGGTGGTGGAGGAGACATGTCTGTGTTGCTTGCTGTTTGTACCAACAGTTTTTGAGCGGGTGGAGGGGGGAACGGTTGAGATGGCTCAGCATGAGGGAGACGGAATGCTACAGTCCCTCCATAGTCATAGCATTTTAGCTAGCACATCTGTATTACATGCCACTAGCTTAGCGCTACTTCAGTGGCGCAGTTGTCGACTGTGCGGGGAGTTCTGTAGGCAGGGCACTCAGTTCTGTTGACAGGGCGGGGCTCCCTACTTGTATAATGGTAGGGGAAACATTGCATATGCATAGATGCAGCATAAACATTGTCCGGCTGAGAAAAAGCAACAATCTAAACAACTGCCACACACAGAAGTGTAAAGGTGTATAATACTTAATATATCCTGATGCATGCTCAATAATCCAGGTAGAAAAATCCAAAAAAGTTCAATCTGGTCCTCTGGACATTCAAAAAAACCAAAAAACAAAACAAAGCAAAAAAATATAGAAACGTTTCGTCTCTCATCCAAGAGACTTCCTCAGTCTGAGGTGCTGTTTTCAGCTCAGTCTCTTAAATAGCACCTTCTCAGAGTGGATCAACCCGTTTGCTGCTGACAACCAAA